CTCCTCTTTTTTTTTTCTCTCTCTCTCTCTCTCTCCTCTTTTTTTTTTCTCTCTCTCTCTCTCTCTCCTCTTTTTTTTTCTCTCTCTCTCTCTCTCTCCTCTTTTTTTTTTCTCTCTCTCTCTCTCTCTCCTCTTTTTTTTTTCTCTCTCTCTCTCTCTCTCCTCTTTTTTTTTTCTCTCTCTCTCTCTCTCTCCTCTTTTTTTTTTCTCTCTCTCTCTCTCTCTCCTCTTTTTTTTTTCTCTCTCTCTCTCTCTCTCCTCTTTTTTTTTCTCTCTCTCTCTCTCTCTCCTCTTTTTTTTTTCTCTCTCTCTCTCTCTCCTCTTTTTTTTTTTCTCTCTCTCTCTCTCTCTCTCCTCTTTTTTTTTTCCTCTCTCTCTCTCTCTCTCTCCTCTTTTTTTTTTCCTCTCTCTCTCTCTCTCTCCTCTTTTTTTTTTCCTCTCTCTCTCTCTCTCTCCTCTTTTTTTTTTCCTCTCTCTCTCTCCTCTTTTTTCTCTCTCTCTCTCTCTCTCTTTCGTTCTCTTTATTTTCCCACTTTTCCTTTTATTTTTATTTTCATTTTTTCCTTCATTTTGTTTATCTATTTTTCTCTTTTTTCTTCCTTCTATTTTACGTTTCCCTCTCATTTAGGCCTCTTTCCCTTTTCTTCTCTTCCTCTCTCTCCTACTCAGTCAGGCTGCGTTATTACTATCAGATTTATTTATTTCATTACAGCTAAGCAGATATATATTTATCTTTTACTAGATTTTTATTACGTTATTTTGCTTTCATAGAAAGACATCAGATATGTACAAGATCACTCTAGGAAGTAATTAAAACAGACTGCACAAAATCTGAAATCGAAAATTTATAAAAAAAAAAAAAAAAAAAAAAAAAACTACTACAGTATGCAATAGTTACGCGGATAAAACTTTGGAGAGAGAATTCACAACAGAACAGAAAGTGCCTGTTTCATTCAGAACCTCGTCTGGTTTCTATTGTTTACAGTTGGAGGAATCTCGTAATGTGAAATGAATGCATTACCATTGTCTAGCGCGGGTTTCACTGTCGAATAAAGCTGCCCTTCAATTGGTTAATTGCTTCCGCTAATTGGAATGCATCTGAAAACAGTTTGTGACAAAATAAGAGAAGAAATTAGATTAATTAACGTCACAGCGTAAGATGTGAAAGACAGATGCGTTTTGATTCAATCTTTTCCTTCTGACATAATCGAAGCGCTCAAACCACATTTATTCATTCTCTATATTTATTCTATACATTTATTCCCTATTTAAGATGAAGAAGAAAAAAAATCCATTAACACTAAACATTAGGATGAGCTAACCTGTATCGTCCAATTAATATCTTTCATTTCCAAATCGTACATCAGTCTCTCATTGTTTGCACTACGTCTCGGGGGGAATCCGGCTTTGGGTCCGTCACTAATCATGTTGGTGGGGGGGGGGGGGGTATTTCACGTGTCTTAGCTCATAAGAATGTACGCCAGGGTGATACATAATGGTCACCCACTTAGTCATTCTTAACCCTCCCTTTTCCTTTCATTGTTAGATATAGATATCGATATATGGGTAAATTTACATGTATGTGTATACATTATACATCCATTTTTTATCGACTATGTTAAAAGCAGTTCAAATGTACATCCTTGTGACACCGCTTTCGCTTACTTATATACTTTATTGCATATGAAATTATACATATTGCAAGTAAATAGTCATATAGCTTTCCATTATGTTGAACAATAGGTTTCGAAACCAAATGTGGTTATAGTTAAGTACCATCTTATGTCAGATTCTTATTTTTCTTTAAGTAAAAATGGTGCATAAGGGGTCTCTTGTTTCAGGTTATCAAATGCCTCAATGAGCTTAATTTGATTAAAGGTTAACTTAATGGTCGAAGGAGAGTTAATCCGACAATGATAGAATAATTCCCGAATGAAACAAAAAGAAACAACTATATATATATATACATAAATGCATTACGTTTTCTCCGTAGAAGTCTATAAAAAGAAAAGAAAAATATATATGCTTAGTCACGTTACACTTCGGCAGGAGGAAGCAAATTATATATATATATATACACCCGGCATGTTCTTCCATATTTATAAACACAAAGGAGATGCTGTATTTTGATATATTACGTGACGAGGAAGTCACCCAGGTGCACCGCGCTATGTTACATCGTCTTTAACTGATACAAGTGTTTACGGAGTATGTTGAATCATTTATTCAAAGCAAGCAAACTTAACGAACATGTTCACATTCAAGCCTTCAACTCGACTATGCGAAATATCTACGACTCCCCCCCCCACCCCCCCTGCGTCTCATTATACATATTAATTATTCTGTTACGCACAGAGATTCGTCTTTGTGAAATATTGTACGCAAATCAGAACCGCCTTATAACGTCGAGTCTGTGTTATATATATTACTCCTCTATCAGATTTTTCCATATATATGCAAATTTTATGACAGGCTTGTGTCTGAAGTATGCCAACTCTTCATCTTAAATGCCAAGATTGCAGGCGGGATCCTTCCATTGTACCAAGCAGAAGGAAAAAAAAAAAAAAAAAAAAAAAAAACGAACAAGCAATAGTTTGGGAAATCGCGGGTAACATTATGACACGATTTATACTGATATCGAAGTATGAACCGTATTCGTGTTGACAAATGTAGAAAAGGGATGAATGAGAGTGAATGTCTTCGCAATACAAGAGATGTATTTGAATGGTTTCGATTATATCTTCGTCGGAAATACACACATTTCTAACGAAGATAGTATGGAGACCGTTCAAATACATCTCTCGTATTGAAGTGAAGATATTCACTCTTTCATACCTTTTCTACAGATATGTAAATATAAAAATACCTTCGGTTCAAACGCATTACTGAGCGTCCAGGATTAATTTTGATTCACCTCGAGACCAGGCTTTACTTTGAGGATTAAAGATTAATTCTGCACATGCGCAGAACGAGCTACTAAATCCCACCAATCATGCATTGATACATAATGAAAACGTTAACTCCATAGGAAAGATGGGATTAAGTTGCCATTAATATTTTTGATGAGCAATAATGAAAAATTCTGACATCTTCATGTCATAGATGTGAAAATTCATCAATATATATTGTTACAAGTTGTCAGATAAACTGCAGATTTAACACATTGAAAAGAAAATACCACAATTCAAGAGTTTTCACACGCAAATGCAATGTTATTTACAAGTCAGAAAAAACATACAACTTATGCAATATGTAACTCAAATGAAAAAAAAAAGCTTTTAATATAACAATTAAGTTTCAAATTCAAAGTAAATACTTCATGATTCTTTAAACTAAAGTGACATCAAAACCACGGATTGTGGATTCTCACTAGCAAAACAGCAGATTTACTGACAATTACATCGACTCGTGCAACTGGCAGTGTACACAAGTAAAGTGAATTTGAAATAACCTTAATCCGGAATTAACTTGTGATGCGTACAGAAGACTCCTATAAAGCGCCATCTGTTATGTGATTGTTTAGCAATCGGTTACCATGTATACCACATACCAAATCGGCATGTGCATGCATACATGGCGTGTGTTGTTCGTTCGTGCTTGCGTGTGAACACGTGCTTGTGTATTTGCGACTGTGTGGATGTGCGTGTGCGTGAGTGAGTGAGAGTGCACGTATCTTTCTGAATGTGCGTGTGTTTGTGGGATGGCAATGTGGAGTGTAGAGGACGGCTGAAGGCAGGAGAACGAGTTCAGACATGTGTCCTTGTGTCGAGGTGATCATAGCACCCATGCGTGCACCCATGCGTGCGCACCTCTTCCAATTATCAAAGTTGACTTGTCAGGGAACAAGCTTCCAGCAGTGATTAGTTCGCATTTTATTTCATTAGTTATATAATCTTCACTTGTTTTCGTTACATTCCTATTACGACCTAAAAAAGATTATCATTACCCCGAAAAATCTTTAACCGCGGGGGTTGCCAGCTACCCATTACCCATTGTGAGACGTTGACAAGTAAACGTCACCGTCATGGACATTCTTCGATGGCATGACATGGGTTAAAAATATTATTTGAATATTTCTCCCATCCTAGAATGCAAAGGAAATAGAAAGTTTTTCCTATGGCAGGAACTACTAGAGAATATTTCATTTTTTTATTGAAAAAAAATCTGCCGCGTCACTATCTACTGTCATTCGCCTTGGGAGCGAAGCCCTCGGATAAGATTTTTGGTCTCAAGATGTTTGTACATTTCTAGAATGGTGAAAGGCACATTTTATCTTGACCAGAGAAAGGTATTAGCATTGTCATAATAAAGCATTATGACAAAGTATTGTGGCGAAAAGGGCAAAAATTAGTTAATGATTAGGATAAGTGGACAGGAAACCATGCAAAATAGGTTGCAGCGAGGGCCTCTTATTTATTGAACATTTTCTGCAGCTTCAACATCTAGCATCATTAGCGGCGGATTCAAAATGCAGCGATAGGGTTGGGGGTGAAGCAAGAAAGTTTTTTTTTCCACATAAGGTGATTTTTTTTTTTTTTTTTTGGCGCCAACTTTAACATTTTTTGGCACTGTCTAAGAAAAGACATGCGATGTAGCTAGCAAGAAGTAAAACTATACTAAAGGAGGAGAAGGGCGAAGAGGGGCAAGGAAGATAGGGCATTTCCAAAGAGTTCAAGTGTAGAGCCACCAAAACAAAGGGCTGGAAAATAGATCACGCTTCTTCATTCGTCCAGTGCTAATTTCAGTGGATATTCAGGGATAGAAGAATCGAAATATATATTTATACATTTTTTTTAAGTCTCTCAAATAGCTCAATATATCATGTTTATGCATCTTCCTGAAATATTGGTTTACTCCATTTATGGAAGAAAAGAAATCTGTCATTTACAATTTCTTGTAATTTTACAGTTTATTATGGTTTATCCTTTTATTTGTTATAAATGTATATTTATCTATCTTTATCAAAGGGTAATCAAATAGAATATTCCTGGGATGCCATTTTATGAAAAAAATACTTTTCCTCGTACATACACTATAACACATGGAAAGAGAGATGATAAAAAAATAATGAAAACGGATTAGACAATTATCACAAGGCAGCGGAAAGTGTATACGACAAAGCGGTTAAAATAAATGAGGAGGAAGGAGCAAACAAAAATTATACAAACATGAAAAAAAAAAGAACACAAAAAAATAAATTGACGCACGATTGGATAATGTAGAGACAAAATTAAAAAGAAAATGGAGGTGCGGAGAGAAAATGAAACTAAAATAAACATGGAATAATTTGCAAAGAAAGGTGATTTCTAAAGAGGAAAGATGTAAAAGAAAAAGATAATAAATATAACCAAGTGAAGAGAATAAGAAGTAGAAGATGAGAAGGGCGAGGAACGACGTAATAAAGGAAAATAGTACAGAGGTAAAAAAGCGAAATGAAATAGATTTATGAGGAAAGAAAACGAAGAATAGAAAAAAACAAGAAAATCAAGTGAACAGGTGATAAAGATGAAACAATAACAAAGGAAAAAAAATCAATTTCTCCTCATCCTTCACATCCTATACACTTCATCCTCTTCTTTATCCTTACCCCCCTTTCTTCCTTTTCTTTCCTCTCCCCCTCCCCTCTCTCTCTCCCTTCCACTTCAATTCTTCCTTATTATCAGAGATTCAGGAGCTTCGGAACCGCTTCAAAGGGATTCGTGAAGAGTGTGAAGAGAGGACCGAAGCCTACGTAGTGTTTCACAAGGATCTGCGCGTAGTAGATGTATCCCTCGCTGCCCACGATCTTCGCCATGGTGGCCGGACCTAAGGGAGAAAGGGATTGGAGTGAGAGAGGGCCATTGAGGGCCAGGGAGAGTCAGAGGGCCAGGGAGAGCCAAGATGGGATAACCTGGGAAAGAAATGTATGAATGCTGATGTATGATACTGCCACTCACTCAACTAGTTCCATAAAATAAAGAGGGAGAGGGAGAAAGGTGGCAACCAAAACGTAACAAATGACGGTTGCATCACAATACACGAGTTCATACGGAACACAATGAAGTTATATAATAGCAATGAAGTTATATATTAGCACATGAAATGAAAAAATCGCCCATGCAAAAAATCTTTCAAAACTGAAAACTCAATCCCCAAGATAAAAACCAAAAAAGGAAAACCCTTACTTCGAAATGAACAAGCAAATACCCCATTAAAACCCAAAATTACTTACTAAATATCAGAAACGAAGTAGCCCGGAAAGCAGCGGCCAGAACGACAGAAGCGGTGATTTTAAAAAGGGGGACGAAAACCGCTGCAAACACGATGGTCAGGAGAGTGAACGCGGCTTGACTCCATGGCAAGGCTGCGCTGACGTCCCTGTCTTCGGCGTAGTATTCCGTGACCATTTTCTTTGACAGGGGAAAGGAGAGAAGTGAAAGGGAGAAGGGTGGATGGGGTGCATAAGAGGAAAGGGAGGAAGGAGAGAAGGGAGGCGGTTGATTTTGAAAGAGGGAAGGGAGAGAGGAAGGGAGGAAGGAGAGAGGGGAGGCGGTTGGTTTTGAAAAGGGGAAGGGAGAGAGGAAGGGAGGAAGGAGAGAGGGGAGGCGGTTGGTTTTGAAAGAGGGAAGGGAGAGAGGAAGGGAGGAAGGAGAGAGGGGAGGCGGTTGGTTTTGAAAGAGGGAAGGGAGAGAGGAAGGGAGGAAGGAGAGAGGGGAGGCGGTTGGTTTTGAAAGAGGGAAGGGAGAGAGGAAGGGTGGATGGGGTGGATAAGAGGGAAGGGAAGTACGTGCAGGGAGAATAAGATGGAAGGTGGGGAGGAAAAGAGGGAGAGAGGGAGAGAGAACCAGTTAAGGGTAATTTATGCAGTCTACAAATCATTCCTTTAACTTTTCAACCTTACCTAAGCCCCTCATTATCCGTTTATCTCCCATCATGTCTTCACCAAAAGGTCTTGAGAATTTTCTTAATTTAAAAGGGACAGGGGTAATTTCAAACAATGAACTTTCCACCATGGGGCGTCATTATTTACTCATTAATACAAACGCATTTGGTGTTAATTAGGACTTTAAAAAAAAAACACTAACATATAATTCTACCGCCAACTCTCGCACCGATTCGGACGGCATGGACATGGATCCGTCCGTTTCCTTCCCGGCATCGGCATCGTCTTCATCAAACATCTGAAAAAAAGAATAACCTTTTGAGAATCAGTCTCGTAGGTACAGAGACAAAATGGGTGATATGGTTATAACAATTCCTCTTAAAATGGAAAAATATAGAATATCTGAGAGGATAGAATATTCGAGTATTTTAACTAATAAGTAAGCTCCAGGACCTTAATCCTTTTTTTTTTTTTTTTACAAGCGTTAAAACCTCTCACCTGAAAAGAAGGGAGGATGCAGTGAAAATAGATCACTACCACCAAAGCAAGAGACACCAGGCTAGAGGACAGACACTTGGAAGCTAACCCTGGGAAGCTACTTGGGTGAAGGAACACACAGAAGGAAGGCAAGTGGATGGGCAGATAACCTATTCCACGCCTTTCAAAGATCAAGTCAGTTTCTACCGCGGCTTGACATAGATCATTTCCTGTACTTGTGATGTTATGTCCCATGTGCATCTCCTTGGTAATTCTTGCTGAAAAAAATCTCCTCAGGCTTCAACTGTACCATTTTGTGAGATGGTTCATATTGTCGGTTCAGCCAAAGTCCTACAAGATTTTGGGTGTCAGACACACCAAAGGAGATCAAGAACTTGGTATTGGACGTGAGCAATGTTGAGTTGCATAGACAAACTGGTTTCAAAGAGGTGCATGGTCTGTTTCCTGCTCATCCCCTTAGATTCACAAGTATTCCCCCAGGAGTGTGGCCCAGGTTCTTGGACGGTGGTGACCTTGCCTCATTTTATGTCAGATGGCCAGACCCAAACAGTGTCAATGGTTCACCCATAACAGCGCAAACAACAGCAAGGGAGTTAGAATTGGCTATTCCCAAGTTTGGAGTGCACAATAGAGAAGGAACTTTGCCCTATCTCAATTTTTTTTTTTTTTTAATCTACGGAAATGTACAGCTTTCGATATCACTCTGAGGGACAGTTCAAAGCCTAGTAACACCAAGGCAGGACGTCACCAGGATTCCTCCTGTGTTCTGGACGATTTTACGGGGATAAACCCCCTCACCTGGGTTGTCCTTATACCCAGACTGTGTGCGGGGTGTGTGGGTATATACTCACCAAATCGTGTCAGATACTATGGTCAAGGCATCTAGAAAAAACAGTGTTTAGTAATAGTTACGAATACTGAGTGTAGTGCCAGGGTAACAGGGTGCTGTACGGATGACCGTTGACGAGCCCTGGTATGTGTGACAGCACTTGACCTGGCGCTCGCACCCTCCCCGCGCCCGACCGCAAGGAATTAATCACCGTAGAAGTGGACAACCACCACCTTGCTGTCCCGTCATGGAGGGGGAGGGGGACGTGCTCGGGGCCCCCCATTGCCATCTACCACCCCCTCATCCTCCCACCCTATGGGGGGGATTGATCTCACTGAACATAGGAAAATGAATGGTGTGGATTCGCCTGTCGCCCCCGATGTGAATCATGAGGGATTCCAACTCGTTCAGAAGAGGAAGGAGAAAATACGGGGAATACCTGGTCACCAGGTTTCTGAAAGAGGCCACCGCAGAAGCACTACATCTTCCGGGTGTTTTTAAAGCTCAGAATCTACAAGGACGGACAACCCCTTAAAAGGATTGTTATTGTATGGAGCAAAGAACATCCGCCACCCAAAGAGTATCACTTCTTTGGACGATACATTGAGTCGAGCTCCATTAGACCGTGGAGCTCAGATGTTGTGGTTTGCTACAAGTGCCAGGGTTATGGCCACGTAGCAAAATACTGGAGGGAAAATGCCCACCCACAGGAGTTCCCACAACTACCAGGGGGATTCTTTAATGGCCTCCCCCCTCTTCATTCCCTCGGCTCCCCATTCCCACGGTGCCCAGGAACCTACTGGTAATCGCCTGTGCCATCAATAACCTGCACTCAGAACATAATGACAATAGCGAAGTGCCTCTAGAGCAAGCAATTCCGATCCTTACCGTCAAATACTTTATAACTACAAATGTACTTACATTTTGATTATACTTAAAATGTTTGTATAAAATTCCTTATTCTCAATCACTATGTTTGTAATCATTATTATTGACGATATTATAGTTATCCAATGTTCACGATTTAATTGTATTGACATATCCAGTGTCCCCGACCCAATGTGTGACTACAGGACCCTTACCCTGCTATAAAACAGTCTGTACTGATATTTCCCACCAAAATCAAGGTTGCCATATTCTTATGTTTAGCGAATATTTTGTGAACCATTCAAAATCTCAGAGCCAAAGTCACTCTGCCCTCAGTACCGGCTCGGGCAACACCTCTAGCTCCCTCGGCTCTGACCTAGAATAAATCGAAGAACTCTGCCGATATTTTATTCACCCATCAGATGTAGTCATTACAGATTCCCCATCCCAGGAAACAGTGCCACAGGGGTGACCAGAGATGAACAAAACAAGGAAGTGATTGAGGAAATAAGAAGCTTCAGACAAGAGCTCGCTGAAATGAGAAAAATGATTATGGAAATAAAAAGTGATCGGGGAGTAGACAGGGAAAATATGCTTTCTAATGATAGTGATGTTGAAAATACGAATGAGGTCTCTGAAAATGTTATTACGTAAGATACCATCGACGAATCATCTGAAAACGGTGACGACAGTAACCTTGAAAACGACGCAGACGGAGATATGCAGAAAACAGGCGGACTGTGGGACATCACTCAGAAAATGATATCAGGTATGGATAATAGGTATAATATCAATGAAGAAAGCGCGCAAAATCGGTGTAAATAAACAAGATGCTGCAAAGATATGTAATGCTGTACACGAAATATGCAGACTAAAGGGCTTCATCAAAAATTTGATAGGGTGTGATTGGGGACAAGAAAATAATTACGTTTCTCTCATGGAATATACGAGGTGTCAACCGTAGAATTAATGACTTGCTCTACTACACTCATAAAAACAATGTTGACGTTATCTGTCTACAAGAGCCCTTCACATCAGCCACTAAAATAAAAACCGCCCCTAGAATTAGAGGTACCACTCCTATACGAACACAGGAATGAAAGGCCTATTGACTTGTGTCTGACACCATACTGCATAAGCTGGTGCAGAAGTCTGATGGCAATGTGCAATATCAGCATTTACATATTCGAACAGGCTCGGGGTTTTTCTCTCTGTACAATGTATACGTAAGGTGTAGAAAGTTTCAAACTGATTCACTGCCCAACTTTCAGAATCACGGCACAATATGCATGGGGAATTTAAATACTAGACATTATACATTTGGAGACAGTCAATGCAATGAAAATGGCGAAGAGTTCGATTTATATGATACAGATAGGGAAACTCACGTGGCGGGGGGCAGGCTAGATTATGTAATAGGAAGGGATCTTGTGCATGGAAACATCATAAGTATGCTTGCAACAGAGCTGATCAGTGACCACTTTGTATTACAGTAATGTTAATCCATTAATACATAATTAGTAAAAATGCTCCTGTTGGTTAAGGTAACGAGGCACTTCCTGCAGTAGCGTTCGTGGCCCGCCGCCCACTACCGTCTTGCTCACTGCCTTACGTTCGTGGGGGGTCTTGCCTCGGTCACTCCTCCACTGCCATAGGCCTGGGCAAGATCTCTCGGCCATTTTGCTATTTTCGGTTGGTACTTTCTTTGTTAGGTTTAGGGCGATATATTACCTTTTACTAATATATCGCATAGGTAGGATTTTCCTGTTTTTGTGTGTTGTGTGTATTTTGTTTTTGGTGAAGGTATAAATAAAAACAAATTTTAATTAAAAGACTACTTATTTTCCAAATCTTTGACAATTAATAAATGCTAGTTAATAATAAATGACTGATAACTGATAATGAAAAAGGAATAATACATTTACTTTAAAAAGGATTACAATAAAATAATGAAAGCACTTTATAAAGAATGCTAATACATTGAGACCTGATAAATGAATGAATGAATTAACGCATTTAATGACAGTAAGCTAATGACATTAATGAGTATCGTAATGAAGAATGAATGACATCAATGAATGAACAAGAAACTTGACAATCACAAGTAGTACTTTAACGCAAGGACAGTTGTTGTTACGTGGTATTAGCCATTCAAAATCAGGTCGCATCGTTGTTTTGATTTTTCGTGTATGATTCTGGCTACCGCATTAGGAGAAGTAGAGTTCAGTGGAGCTTCTCTTCCCCTGAATTCTCTTAGTGACATACCAGCCGTAACATTTGCAATAGTATCAAGATACACTGTTAATAATAGTCTATCTGCAAAAACAAATAGGCTTAGATATTTTATTCCTCCTTACCTTTAGCACCACTTCAAATCACGTATTTATGACTGGTACGACGATTACACAGTAACGAGTGTTGATAAATTCTCCATGGACATGACCGATTCCTTCAACACCTGGGTCTCTCCAAAGAAAACCTTCAAGAGCAACAACTCGCAACACTCCAAACAACCCTACCTACCCTACCCTACACTATTAAGGGAACAAAAGCGAGTTCAGGAGCATTTTGATATCTACAAGCAGGACAATACCCGTGGCAACCTTATTTAGGGTCTTAAGGCTAACAAAAATCTACGGGAATTAAATACTTTCAAAAATGAACAATGAATAGTTCCTACAAAGCATTAAGAATAACACCTCAATGTCTGAGGCTTGGGAAAAATAAGTTTATTCTCAGGCAAACCAACTAGCACCCTGCAATACCATAGTCCTTTTGCACAGTTTACTTCCCATAAATATTCAGGATCACCTTAGTCTAAAATTTCACATAAGCTTTTGACACTGCAAACAGAGAAGTTATTCTAGAACAATTAGTAAGCTTTGGCATCCAGGGTAAATTATTGAGCAGGATTAGAATATCTTTCGAACAGATCTGCAAGGGTCTTGTTCAGGGGAGGCGAGAAGTTCCACTTTACAATCTTTTGCCTTGAAGTTCTCAGCCCTATGCTATTCAATGTCCTCATGCACAAGCTGGTGGCAGATATTGCACTTGGGGAGGGTGAATCCATTATGTGCTATGTTGATGTCATGTGTCTCAGAGCA